TGAGTAACTGGTATTTTTCTATTAAAAAGTTTTTTCTTCCTAGCTCCTTCACACTTTTTAGTATCACTATGGTAAAAAAAGATTTTATCAATGTGTTATAATCCATTACTACCATCATTCTTTTTCAAGTTAAAACTGTTCCAAATTTAGCTGATCCCCTCTTATTTGGTTGTAGATTTCTCCCTTCTGGTGGATGCTTTAGACATACCCTATCTGGCACAAACAATTCAGGCTCATTTTATACATTTTCTACCTAGACCTACACTAGCCATTTCTTTAAGGAACAGTGCTTCTTTTTAACAGGGAATGGTATTGAAAAACTAAGATCTGGGTACCAGATGCGCTCACCATTGCAATTTTTAAAATCATATAGGAGACCATAGTATAAGAAAATTCTACTCTCCTGAGAATGTTAGAACAATATATATCAAAAGAAAAACGATGCAGAGATCTTTAGTCTCCATCCTCTATTTTCTAGTACTTCACCATTATCTCTACTGACCACAAAAATGGCACATTGCTGTATCCTCCCCCACCCCACAAGGGTTGTTTTCAGCAAAGGACTAAACTTACATTTGAAGTAAGTGTGCAATCTGATACGTCATTATCCTAAATTGCTGTCCCCTCTGGGTCACTATTGCCCCCTCCTATTTGGGCAAGGAAGGTGTAAGGACTAAACTAGGACAAATATGTTCTATGTTACTTCTCAACTTCCAGTGGCCTGAGACTATATTTTAACCATATGCAAGACCTATAAGCACTTCATAACTATTGATTACCCACAAAGTATTAATTTATCTTTTATCTGGCCCAAGACTCCTCCCACTATATAGTAAAGGCTAAACATACACAATGCATGGATGGATACCAAACAGCATGCTCTTCTAGAATAAGAAATCTTAGAACTTTAATGAAGTTTAAGTCTTCAGATGCTTTTTTTTGTCTCCTATTTGGGTACTAGGATGCCTGACAGAAGATCAAATTGACCAGAGACACGCACAGCTAGACCTCACCAGCAGAGGTCAGGAGAGGACAAGAAGAAGAAAAGCTTTGTGCTTTGAGAGAACAACATTGAGAAGTCTGTCATATATTTTGAGTAAGACCTCAAACCACATAAAATTAAAAGTTTTGAAAGATATGAATAGGCTTCAAAATTTTGTAAGCCATGTAAAATATCACTCTACATTAAGAAATAGATGAATGCATGAAAATGCATAGTTTTACATATCCTTTCCTCCTTATTAAAAACATCAATAAGCTCAAAGAAACAATATAACCCATTATTAATATTGTTCTCTGCAGAGTAAACATAATAAGTGTGTTTATATGTTGAAGTGACTACATGGAAGAATCCAAAGCACTTCTCAAATATCAACATAATCCTCTTATGAGGGACTGCCTACTACTATCTTTATTTTAAACATTGAATCACCTTCTAGAAAATAATACACTGGAAAATCTGAAACTAAAGCCATGATTACTTAACTATGCATTAGTGTACAGCTTTCCAAATGGCAATAGCTGCATGCTTCAAGTGTAAAGATTAATAAACTCTTTAGATTTCAGCAAGTTATCATTTCCATTGATTTTATTAAACAGTCATACATGAAGAATTTTTTTATTACTTCTCTAGATATGGCAGAGTTGGCCATTAGAACTAGGTAGTTACTGAAGAACACATAAACTAAACTCAGGCCAAAAACATTTGACGAAATTCTGATAAACTAAAAACTTTCTAGCCTCATACTGCTCTGCATGCGTCTAAAGTTCTCATTCCACTTTAAAGAAGCCAAAGCTGTAAAAAGGCAGGCCATGCAATATGAGTGCAGTTTATGTACAAAAGGCATAATGAAATCTTAATCACCAGCCTCAGAACCCTGTCCCTCTTTCAATAAAAGACTAACAAATAAATATAAAATTACATCTTAAGTAAATTAATAAGGTGTGCATAGGCCATTTTTAGTGATTTGTTATTATATTAAACTCCTGAGATTGAAGCACCAATTAATTACAATCTTGACTACATTGGGTAGAAGCTCTTTTACCCAACACAAATATCTTTTAAAAACCAAAAGAGTATTTTTTTAAATCTCCCTAACGTATGCATTTTCTACTAACTTTTGTCTTATATTTCTCCTTTTCTTTACTGTCACATTTCTTAAATCATCTATATCACTGACCCAGACTTTTGGACTTTCTAGACCAGAAATTATTTTAAAAGGGAAGGTGCGTAGGCATTAGAGAGAGAAGTCCATATTGAGTTGCCAGGTTTCTATTTTGCCAAATATGGATATCTTTTGTTATAAGATACCTTCCAACTCTTCTCTCCCAGATTTCTCAAATAAAGGACATTTAACATTTGAAGGGACAATCTCAGCCAGTCTTTAAATCAACCTATTTATTACAAAGCAGTCATTACATTCATTTGGTCATTCATTCAGCCACCACTTACTGCACACATACTAACACACTATGTGCACTGTTGTGGGTTCTGGGGAGACAGCAGTGAATAAAGCAGATTTTTAAAAAATACTCAAAGAGATTACATTCTAGTGAGGAAACACACACACACACACACACACACACACACATACATACACACACCAGTAAAATATTTAGCATGTGAAATAATACATGTTAAAGAGAAAAATAAAGAGAAGGAAAGAATTAGTATTATAGAGGACAGTCCCCAATTTTAGAAATGATGGCCAGGGAGGATATTTTTCTGAAGGTGCTATTCCTAGGGTATCCAACCCAAGGTCCGTAGGCCACATGTGGGCCAGGATGGCTATGAATGCAGCCCAACACAAAAATCGTAAATTTACTTAAAACCTTTTTTGTTGCTCACCAGTTTTCATTAGTGTTTCTGTATTTAATGTGTGGCCCAAGACAACTCTTTTTCTTCCAGTGTGGCCCAGAGACACTAGAAGGTTGGATACCTGTGAAGGAATGAGGGACTGAGACTTGTCACCATCAGGGGAAAGAGCACCCACCCCAAGAAAGGAAGCAGCCAGTGCAGAAAGCCTCACAGAAGGAATATGGTGGGCATGCTCACAGAGCACTAAGGGGGTCAGTGAGTGAGTAAGAGAAGGCAGCAGGAGGTGAAGTGAGAGCCTTAACACAATCCAGGTCATACCAGGCCTTACAGGTCATGCTAAGGACTTGCCCTCTTAGTATGTTTCAGTTAGAGAATGACATGATCTTACTTATTTTAAAATAATCTTTCTGGTTCTTCTGGTGAACAGAGAGACTCTGAGGAGAACCAGGGGGACGATGGCAGAAGCAGGAAGTTGGAAGTTCCAGAACAGAGGACCAGGTGGTAAAAGTAAAGCAGGTGATCAGATTCTGAATGTGTTTTGAAGGCAGAGCTCCCAGAACTGCTAAGAAATGAAATGTGGGGTAAGAAAAAGTCAACAATAACTCAGAAGTTTTTATTTCATTTTATTCATTCATTCATTGCTTTCAGAGAGAAGGGAAGAGAGAAAGGAAGGAAGAAAGAGAAACATCGATTGGTTGCCTCGAAGACATGAGTGTGGTGAGGAACAATGAAACAGTGGTGTTATCAGTGGAGTCCAAGAATCAGTGAAATCAGGGCACTAGACAAGAGAAGACTAGTCAGAGAGTAGAAATAAATCCTGATGTTCCCATTTTGAAGTGGACTGGTAGAAAGTTCACCTGAGGCAGAATTAGAAATTGTTCACTGTTATCTACCACTTCCTTTTCATTCATTCCTTAGCCACAGATCTGCTTTCCCCACCACCAACACTACCATTTCATTTCACTAATATTGCAATACTGGCCAAAAGTCACCAATAATCTCCCACATGTTGCCTCACTTGACCTTCCTTTAGTCACTGGGCAGACAGTGAGCATCTCAAAGACAGAAACTATGTCTTATTTGATCCAAGTATCAAATAAGGCAGTACCTAGTCTAGTGCTATGCAAGAACACAGCTATCCAAAAAGGAGAAGAAGAAGTAGAAGGAGAAGAAGAAATTCCTTTGCCAAAACATCAGGGTATGATACTGAGAAAATCAGGAAGTCAGAAGAGAATTCTAATGTAGGCAGTGCCTATGGGGAACTCTATGTAAAATGGCAATTTTGTCTACATCTCAAAGTTATACTATAGTTTTTATTTTCAGGAAATTTTGATTTTAGAATGGTTTTCCCAAATATTTTTCAAATTCCAATTCTAATTTTATCTCCATTTTCTGAAACTCAGCTTCCTTCCTCAACAAACATAAACTAAGAACAATCCTAATCAGTAGCCTCCATCTCATTCTACAATTCACATTTTGGTACAGGAAAAAAAAAACAGAGAAGAGAAGGGAAAGTCTGACCAGCTTTAAACCATTCAATCCCTAGTTCTCAACTATGGAACCAGATCCCTAGTCAAGTATAATGAAGAAAGGGGAAACTCCGAGTTGCCAAAGGATGACAGGTTTACTATATATAAGATTTCTCTAAATTCTTAAAAAGTTAGTATCTTTATTTGACTACCGCAAAATGTGTTGTTGTTGTTTTTGAGAAAGTTGATTAAAACCTCATGCAACAGCTATGCTGCAAAGAGCTATGGTCTGGAATAGTGCTCTATTAGCCACAGGGTGCATGAGAATCACTTGTGAGACATTTTACAAATTACATGCCCAGAGAGTCTGATTTAACAGACTGAGGTGGGTCCCAAGCAACTATGCTCTTTAAAGGCTCTGCATTAGGAAGTACTCCTGGACTGGGAACTACCTGTCGAGGAATCAAATCTTCTCTGGTAACTGATACCTTTCCTTTTCTTAAATATCTACCAGAAATCCCATCAAATCTCCTAAAATTATTTCATTGTTAATTTAATTTCTTCCTAACAGTGATATACTTAGGATCAAATTTTAAGAATGACCTCACCATGAATATATAATACAGCATTCAAAATCAGAAAGGTGGTAGATTTTATTCCTCTAATAAACACAATTCACCAGTAACTGTAAGTAAACGCAGAGCTGGCCTTACCCGTTCCACAGCTGCATTATGATATGGGAGCTCCTCCTCACTGCAGAGAAAAAAAAAACCAGTATGTGACAAATGGTTAAAATCAAAGCAAACTTTGAAAAAATTATAAGCCAATAGGTACACATAATGCATGACCTTTTATTTGTCAGCACAAAAGTTATATAGCTCCTATTCCACCAAATTGTATATAAAATAATTAACTATCCATAACCACAATGTCCCCTATCTTTACATTTCTAGACCAGCACTGTCCAATAAAGTAATCTCTAGGTATGTGTGGCTACTTAGTTTTAAATAAAATTTTTTTAAAAATTAAATAAAATTAAAAATTCAGTTACTCATTCTCATTAGCCACAACTCAAGTACATGATAATTATGCAGATAGAGGCTACCATATTGAACAGTGCAGATATAGAAAGAGCATTTCCACCAATGCATAAAGTTCTACTGGAAACACCACTCTAGACTAGGAACCATCAGCAACCTTTTTCTATAAAGGTAAACATTTAAATAATAAATACTTTAGGCTTTATAGACCATGCAGTCTTTTTCATTGTAGAGCAGACACAGGCAAAATGTAAATTAAGTGTGGTTTTGTTCCCATAAAACTTTTACAGAAACAGGTGGTAAACTGGGTTTGGCTTACAGGCCACAGTTCACCAACCTCTACTCTAGACCATCATCTCTTCTCTCTGGCTCAAACCATGGCCTACAATAAGTGACTGTTTAAAAGAAATTGTAAAGAAAAACAAAATAATCTCTAACAGATTTATGAATTAAAAAGAAAATTTTTGTTTGGTAAATAAGGAAATCTTCATTTGTGAAAACTTCAATGGGGATGATTTTTTTAATGTACGGTAACAGATGAAATCCACTTTTCTAACAGTAATTTTGTGATATCACCTCTAATATAAAATATTCTGAAACTCTTATATTCACTGTCAAAAATATAAAAATACGTGCCATCCATAAACAAAGTTATATGCTTCGAGTTTTTATCTCAGTAGTGTTGATGTTTTGGCAATGATATGTACATATTCTTGCCTTAGTTTCTCTTGACATCAAATAATACCTCTTCCCAGAGTGTAAAACATTTGTATTTAAGAGTCTATTATTTCAGGGGCACCCTTTGCTACTCTGATGAGTCCTTAGGTGAACCATGAAGCTACAACTGACCAAAAAAAAGTGTAATATTTAAAAGAGATCTTAGATAGTCCAAACCTTCATTTCATAGATAAAGAAACTACCATTTTCACTTAGTCACACTTAGCCTAATGTGGAGCCGTTCAGCAATCTCTAACCCAGTAAATTTGCATTAAGATCAACAAGATCTTTAGATTACTGTAGGAGTATATGAAAAGGCTGAAAAATCAAGTCTCAAGAGGTTAAGAAACTTAGAGGATTTAAATATAAAAAGTCTTTTGTTGTTTTTCTCCTGTAAAGTGAATACTCTACTGAATGTGACACCCTCATTTTTTTTATAGCTTTCATTATGCTCTTAGTCTAAATTTCCCTGCTAATTTGTAATCCTGATTACTAGGGCCTATGACGTATACGCCATACAGGATATAATTTCTGGTTTAAAAGTGTACCTATCCATTCTTTATTTACTGGCAAAAGAGGGCTTGTTGACACCTCTGGAATGTACTTCCTAGGTAATTAGTCAGCAGTGACACCTTGAAAGAATAAGAACATCTGGCACCCTCGGTACACACCAAGAATAGAATTTCTGGGGTTAGTAGGCTACCCTGGGCAAGATGAACCTTTTGTACAGCTGATTTGAGCTGATCCTGACAACTATTTATTTAAACATCTCTAACTTCAAATGAAGTGCTAGCTATAGCTGCCTATCACAGGAGAAGTTCTTTGAAGTTGCTGGGTGCATTTCTTTGGTGTCCTCCTATTTACTAAAAAAGCTGACAGACCTATTCTCAACCCTGACTCAGAACCAAGCGTTGGACTTGTCTGTGAAATAATACTGATCATCTGCTCAGGCTACACGGTCTATGTTTGGCAGATCTCACAGAACCAACTGCTTTCTGAAATTCAAGATGAGATAGATGCAAACAGATGCACACAGCACTCCACTCTAACTTAACTTCAAATTATGCTATTGAAATCCTGGGAGAGAGGAATGCCAGAATATACATACACAACCATGGTCAGCCTTAGGTAAAATCCAGGAGTACACAAACCTAGTCTTAGATTTTTATCTGACCCAATATTTTACATAATCCTTTTGCCCTGTCACAACCCTCCCTGAATCTGGCTGTCTATCCGGTCCCCATCATGATTCCCAAACCGTTATTGAACTCCTGCTATCCAAGCATTTTTAATATGCATTTTAAAATTTATTTATTTAAAAAGTAAGACATAATTGACATAACAATGTATTAGTTTTAGGCTATAACAATGATTTCATATATGTATACATATTGCAAAATGATTAAAGTTTATTAAACATCCATCAGCATACATGCTTACAGATTTTTAAAAATTTTTTCCTTGTGATGAAAACTTTTAAGATCTACTCCCTTAGTAACTTTCAAACATGTAATACAGTATTGTTAACTATAGTCACCGTGCTGCACATTAGATACAGGACTTACTTACATCTAGTTTATACTTATTGATCACCTTCACCCATTGCCCCCAACCTCCAGCCCTGCCTTTGGCAACTATGTATTTGTTTTCTGTATCTATGAATTTGTTGTTTGTTTGTTTAAGATTCCACACATAAGTGACATCATACAGTATTTGTCTTTCTCAGTCTGACTTATGTCACAATACTGTAAAGACATATCATAAATGTATATATGATTTTCTTTTCCATTCATTCATGGATGTACACCTAGAGTGTTTCCATGTCTTGGCTATTGTAAATAATGCTGCAAAGAACATAGGGGTGCAAATATCTTTTCAAGATAGTGATTTGATTCCTATTAGATAACTATCCAAAAGTGTAATTGCTAGATAATATGGTAGTTCTATTTTTAATTTTTTAAGGAGCCTCCATATTGTTTTCCATAGTGGTGCAATTTACATTCCCACCAGCAGTGCAGAAGGGTTCCCTTTTTTCCACATCCTCACCAATACTTGTCTCTTGTTTTGTTTTTTTTTATTCTAAACTGGTATGAAGTGATATCTCATTGTGGTTTTAATTTGCATTTCCCTGATGATTAGTGATGCTGAGCACCTTCTCCTACACCTGTTGCTCATCTGAGTGTCTTCTTTGGAAAAATGTCTATTCGGATCCTCTGTCCACCTTTAAATCAAATTGTAAAGTTGTTTGCTTTTTTTTTTTTTTTTTTTGGCTATTGAGTTTTACGAGTTCTTTAGATAGTCTGGGGACTAACCTCTTATCGAATACATGATTTACAAATATTTTCTCTGATTCAATAGAATGGTTTTTCATTTTGTTGATGGGTTCTTTTGCTGTGCAGATACTTTGTAGTTTGATATAGTCCCACTTGTTTATTTCTGCTTTTGTTGCCTTTGCTTTTGGTGTTAAATCAAAAAAATCATAACTAAGACCCATGTCAAGAAGTTTACTGCCTATGTTTTCTTCTAGAAATTTTATAATTTCAGGTCTTATGTTCAGTCTTTAATCCACTTTGAGTTGATTTTTGTGCACAATGTAAGATAATGGTTCAATTTCATTCTTTTGCATGCAGCTGTCCAGTTTTTCCAACATCACTCATTAAAGAGACTATCCTTTCCCCATTGTATATTCCTGTCTTCTTTGTTGTAAATGAATTTACCATACATATGTGGGTTTATTTCTAGGCTCTCAATTCTGTTCCACTGATCTGTATGTCTGTTTTTATGTCAATACCATACAGTTTTAATTACTACAGCTTTGTAATACAGTTTGACACTAGGCCTTGTTCCTCTTGCTCAAAATTGCTTTGGTAATTTAGGGTCTTTTGTGTTTATATACAAATTTAGGACAGTTTACTCTATTTCCGTAAAACAAACCACTGAAATTTTGATAGGGATTGCTTTGAATCTGTATATTGCTTTAGGTAGAATGGACATTTTAACAATATTAATTCTTCTAATCCATGAGCATGGATATCATCCCATTTATTTGTATCTTCTTCCATTTCTTTCATCAATGTCCTATACTTTTCAGAGTATAGATCTATTACCTCTTTGGTTAAATTGATTCCTAGTTATTTTATTCTTTTTGATGCAATTATAAATGAAACTGTTCTTTTAATTTCTCTTCCTGATAGTTTGTTACTAGTATACAGAAACACAATTGATTTTTTGTATATTGAATTTGTATCCTGCATCTTTACCGAATTTGTTTATTAGTTCTAACACATTTTTGTTTTCTTTTTGGTGGAGTCTTTAGGGTTTCTATGCATAAGATCATATTACCTGAAAATAGAGACAGTTTTATTTCTTGTCTTCTGATTTGGATGACCTTTTTTTTCTTGCTGTATTGCTCTGGCTAGGACTTTCAGAAGTCTTAGCCAGAGCTATATTGAACAAAAGTGGTAAGAATGGGCATCCCTGTCTTATTTCTGATCTTCAAAGAAAAGCTTTCAGTTTTTTCCCCATTGAGAATGATCTTAGTTGTGCACTTATCATGTATGACCTTTAATATGTTGAGATACATTCCTTCTCTACCCATTTTGTTGTTTTCATGAATGTATGTTGAATTTTGTAATAAATCTTGAGACTTCATTGATTGATGATAGAGCTCAAGAATGTGGTCAAGTTTTCCTATATGCACTTTCTTGCATATTATTTCATACCCTAAAACCTTTTATACAAAATCTTCTGTACATAAATAACACTCATCTCCAAAAAACTATTCCTCCTCAAATTTCTATATTGAAATATATTAATTTCCACAGCCTTCCAAGAAGTAACCAAGGGAATGCTGCTCTAACAAGAGCCACACACAATGTAGAATACATCTGTAAAGCACTGCACCAGCCTCAGACACAGGTACCGGCACACTGGAGGAATACACTAACATTGCTGGGTGAATGTACAAAGGGAAGGATAAACACATGCCTGCATGCACGTAGGTGTCTTTACTTTACCACCTAAAAACTCTTCATGTAGGAAAATAAAAGGACCAAAATCTGGGTGACAGGAGTATTCTTTTAGATCAGGAAACTATAGACTATGGATCAAATCCAGCCACTGCCCGTTTATGTAAGTGAAGTTTTACTGCAATACTGCCACACTCTGTATGTCTGCGGTTGTTTTCATGCTACAATGGTAGAGTTGAATGGCTGTGACAAAGGGTCCATAAAGACAAAAATATCTAATATTTGGCTCTTTACAGAAAATGATTGCCTCCCTCTGCATTAGAAAACAAAGGTTTATCCTGTAAGAGAAAGAAGCACCTAGAAGTGGGTCAAAGAAAACACCAAGCTGTCAGTAAGAAGCAATGCTTCACAGAAATACAGTAAGTAAAAACAACAATGACAACAACATAGTCATCTCTGAAAAGAGAAAGATCTTAATTGGATATATTTTTTCATCTGCTATTAAATTTAGAATTACTAATTAGAGTACAAGTGTGTAATTTTTTAATAGCTTAGATGGAGTGTTTCTATAACTTAAGATAAACTTTCATTTTGGAAACTTAACTTGTTAAAATCAGTTAAGTTGAATATACTGACTAAATTTTCTTTCTATTTTTATAGTAAATTTTGTCTAAATTTACATTTACTCTAGTCGAAATTATTAGGTGAACAGAGAGTTTTCAAGCCCTTGTCATTAAAAGATTATTATTTAAAAACAAAACCATCATTCTTCTGGTTTTCCAACATTTACACAGCTATAGTAAACTACAATCTGCTAATTTTATAAATATATGTATTTTGATAAGGAGTTGAAAACCTGAAGCTTGGTATTAATTTTATCTTTGTTTTTGGTACAATTTCCTTCTACTTCTTCTATTAATAACTTGTGACCTAAAAGCATTATCTATCTTTATCCAAATACCAAGCATTCTTTGTTGAGCAGAGTAGTTGCACTGGCTATTTTTGATAAAAATGTTTAAAGTTCTCTAACTTTTTAAATAAGCTCAATTGCTCCATTCTCTAAAGCAGTATGATCACAGTCACACACACTGGGGACAGACTGGGGAGAGCTCCCCATTTCTGAGTACTCAACAAAGACATTCCTGTGCCAGTGTCAAGCCAAGCTGCTTTGGCAACAGTTTTCATATTTATTGTGAAATCTGTTACAGAACCAAGTTAGTCCTGTACTGCATTTGTTAATTACTGTCATCCTTCTTTACATACTATAACAAGTAATTTAACTTACTAAAACTATAATTAGATATGAAGTCAGTAGCCTTCAGTGAAGGCTACAAATTTCATTTTTGCCATTGCATTTTATTAACATTGACACTTACAATCCAATTTCATTGGAGAACCAACCAAAAATTGCAAAGAACTAAGCAGAAAAAAATACTCTTTCGATCAACATGTGACAGGGAGCAATATCTAAACACCTAGGCCACATGACTTTATTCAATAGCACAAAAAACTCCAATCTACAGTGACAACCAATAAAAGCCACCAGAAAAGACCTCTGGAGAAAGTGATTTACTGACATTAGACAGACATTGTAGCAAAAATAAATGATTTCAGTAAAATTTAATAAAGCCTAACATTACACTAAAATCCCTTTCTATGTTTCATTATTCTCATTTGATTTGAGCTTCCTGCCTTAGGACAGCATCAAGGAGTAAATAGAAAGAAAATATAGTGCGACAGGTGGTATGAAAACTGGTATCAATCAGCTTCGTTTCTGAAGAAGTGGAGAGCTTTGCTCTCTGGGCATTAACTCAGTACACGTGATTGTTTTGAACAGCATCCCTCTCATTAGGCACTCTTTGTCCCCTTTTTCTTTCTAGGAATTTCAAAGCCTTCTACTGGGTTTCTTTTATTAAAAATAAGGGAGAGCAGTAACAAGCAGTGTAACACAGCAGTTCAGAACACAGCTCTGCTGTAGCACTGCCAAGGTCCGCACGCCAGATCTGACACTGTCAGCACAACCTAGTCAAGCTGCATGATCTCTTTGTGCTTCATTTTCACCTAAAAAACTGATTTAAAAAAAATACTTATTCCAAAGAGTTTTTGAGAGAAATAGATGAGTTAATCCATGTAAAGAGCATAAAACAGTGCCTGTTACACAGTAAGTGCTCAATAAATATTAACTGATATTATTAAATAAATGGACTGACTTTTTCTCCACTAGTGCCAAATGGACTTCAGCACAGAGGGCAAAAAACAAGCACAAAATAACTGAGTGTGATTTTTAGACTGTCAAGTACAGGCTAGGCTCTTGGGCCAGAAACTTGCTCATATTGTTTCAAGCAAGGAGAAAAAAAATTTAGGTAATTACTAGATCCTTTTGGAATGCACAGTTTTTTCCTGTGTACTTTGTACTATATTAGACCATTTCATGATTTGCACACCTTTTAGAATAGTTCACTGCCATCAGAAACATTGCGGCGGTCAAAATCAGCTGAGTTGTGTTCCACCTGCTAAACCAAAATCTGGGATAGACCCCAGAAATCTATTTTTAAAAAACAAACAGTTCCCAGCTGACTAGTGTGGGACCCACTGCTCCTGACAGAGCTAAGTGCTCAAGCTGTCTCCAAAACTTTACTCACATACCTCAGATCTGCATATTAACCCACAGAAATGTGTATGTATTTCCTGCCACATTTGTGGCCAAGCTTGATTTACTTAAATTAAAAAAAAAAAAGGAAGTGGGGAGAGGTTAATTTAAGAACAGTACTGTCATCATAGTTAAACACTGTTCTGCTAGTCTGTTGAAGTTCAAAGTCTTCCAATTATAATTACTCAGGAGAACATTTTGTGCATACTAATGTCATTAGTTATAATAATAACACTTTATATTTGTCCTTTGTATAGTATTCTATTATTTTGTGTCTTCAAATCTTCCTCTACATTGTAAGGTATGTAAAGCAGTTAATGATTTCTGTTTTACACATGAGGGATGAAATGGTTAACTAAGCCAGTGAAGCCACAGGAAAAGCACATATTCTCTAACTTAGAGTACTGTTTCTGTGTCTGTTTGCTTGTTTTACTCTGAGAAAAACATCAGACAACCAAATACTATCTAAATGCAAGACACCTGAACAAAAGGAGAAACTACGTTCTGAGTACTATAAGTTACTGCTCTGAAATATATAAGAAACTGTATTTTTTTCCTCAACTTTAATCATATATCATAAAATAAAAATCTCTGGCTTTTTCCTATTTATAGTAAATAAGACTGAAAAATACATTTGAATGAGAAGTTAATCACTGAACTATATGGAACCAAACAAACTATAGAAATGAACAGAAGTCTCCAGCCCACAGGAATCTGACTAAACAACTCCAGAACCAGAACAGTAGGTTCACATCATTTACAGTATGTTTTTAAGAGTCAAAATCTCTTTAACCACTTTATAGTAGTCTAGACTTCTCTTAACCCTTTATATAACATACTCAGGATAAATGGAATTAATTTTGAGAAGCAGTAATACAAATACATTTACAACTAAAAGAAAGATTAATGGGTTTTTTTTTTCATCACTCAATTTTAGGCTGCATAAAACTAAAAGTTCTAATTGCTCATTATTTAAAAAATGGATTTATATAAAATGACATGTTTTATAATTATTTTTGAAATACAAATTGTTATTCATTTCCATTTAATTCTGTTAAATTATTAATGGAATTCATTTATTGCACTTAATGATTCTTACAAAAATATAACAAATATGTATTAAAGATAGTATTCTTACAAAATAGTTGAATTTCAGTCACAGAGGTTAAAAATGTCAGGAATTTAATAACAACAGTATGTTGCAAGACCAGTCTTGGAATCTTATTCATAGCATGCTATTAAAAATAAATAAAATCACCCTGGCTGGGTGGCTCAGTTGGTTAGAGCATCATCCCATACACCAAAAGGTTGCAGGTTTGATTCCTAGTCAGGGCACATACCTAGGCTACAAGTTCAAGCCCCAGCTGGGGTATGCATGGGAGGCAACCAACTGATGAATGTTTCTCCCTCACATAGATGTTTCTCTTTCTCTCACTTCCTCTCTCTCTAAAATCAATAAATATATCCTCAGGTGAGGATTTAAAAAATAATAAAAAATAAATATAAAATAAAATAAAATAAAATAAATATCACAGGTGTCCACAGAAGCATTATAATAAAAAAGTTAGCTTTAAATCTATGCAACTTACTGTAAAAAGCCAAATCTATCTGTGACTTTGTAAACAAGGTAATCAGCATCTTCCCAAGGTTCGATCTCTGCACCTTCTCGTCCCTATAACAGTGAACAAAGAAGGGTGTTATTGGAAACCTGTAAAATTGAATAATTTTTTTAAATACAAAGACCAAAAAAAGGATAGCTATTTTTATATATGAACAGTAAGAGCTGGAAATGAGGCACCATCCACCTTAGCTAACTTTAAAACATTTATATTGATATTTTTGGCAATATCATCACTATTCTCTAATTACACACTTTGGAAGATACCATATGTCAGCAACAGCTGACCTGTACTGAGGCTTTGCTCAGACTTGGGTTCCTGTGAGTACCTGGGAAGGAGGGAGCAAAAGAGAAAAAGAAAGTCACTCAAGAACAACCTGTCACACTTTAAAGTTTTTGAGTGAATATGTCTTAGAAAGAAAAGTATTTGTCCTTTCATCCAAACTTCTCAGAAGAGTGGGCTATCCCCCTTGTCTCTCTGCTTCTTTACTTCACAGATACATCAGCCCTGAAATGATTCCAGCCAAGGTCAAAAATGATCTACCATTGTTAAAATCAGTGGGCACTTTTCAATCCCGTTCAAATGGATTTTTCTGAAGCACTTAGCAGTGCTGCTTCTCACTTTCTATTCCTCAACCCACATGACATCACCTCCCTTGGTTCTCATCCCTTTCCAGCTATTCTTTTGGTGTCTCTTTCATAGAATCTCTTAACTGCCAGTACAAACAGACCTCTGTCCTCAGCCACTGCTCTCCCATTCCACCCTTGAGGCTGTTAACTCACACTGTCAGTGTAGAAACCCCAAATGTAACTGTCTATCCAGGGATGTCCAACCTTTTGGCATCTCTGCACTGAAAGAAGAAGAGTTGTCTTGGGCCACACATTAAATACACAAACACTAACAAAAACAAAAAAAATCTCATAATGTTTTAAGTAAATTTAGGATTTTGTGTTGGGCCTCATTCATAGCCATCCTGGGCCACATGAGGCCTGCAGGCTGCGGAGTGGACACCCTTGAACCAATCCCTCAAATTTCAGACTCAGTACCCAACTGTCTTGTAAACCCCTCCATCCGAGGGTACTTCATAACTGCCTGCTCATGTGTTCTCCAAGTAAGCCATGAGCATCTTGTGGGCAAAAACAGCTCTAACTCATGTCCATAGTGTGAATCCCTAGGGCCTAGTACAATGCCTGCCTTGCCTGGTCACTAAGTGTTAGTTGCATGGAAAAAAAAAAGCATGCAAGGATGAATGACTGACAGTTCTATTGGTTTTAAATTAGTTAAGCAGTTAAATAAATTAATTAGGTTTTTCATGGACTACCCAAAACCTAATCATAGTAATGGGAAACTGTGTCTGATGTTCCAAATGACCACTTAAAAACAAACTCTGGGAACATAGCCATTGAGCGAGTACTGCCTGTATGCCTCCCTGTAAGCAGGACACAGTCCAGACGGCTTTCTCTAATTCCATGCTCCTGTTGTTCTCACAATAATGAAAAATAACAGATATAAAATTACATGCAAGTGATATAAATATAAAACATGACATTTATAAATCATTGTTGCAACTCACAGGCCTCAAGAGGTTAAGAAATAATGAGATGCATAAATCGTCAACAATTGTTATTTCCTAGGGCATTAAAAACCAGATTTCATAACTAATTTAAGGATAAAATGCTAATAGAGAGTATATACAAATGTATAATTTAAAATTTCAGATCCAGGGTAAATTTTTAATAGCACATATAAGTTATGAATAAAGTGGGTATTTAATTCCATATAATAACTTATTAAAATATTTGTTGAATATCTAGTGTGAGTCAGGAACCTTTCTAGGTGTTTATACTACAAGAGTAAAGCAAACAAAAGAAATTCATGCCCTCAGAGAATTTATATTCTAGGAATGAAAGCAGTCAACAAATAAAGTATAATATAGACTGTTATATAATAAGTGCAATGGTGAAAAATAAATAAAAGAAGGGACAGAATGCTGCAGGCAGAGGAAGAGTATTAAACAGTGTGTTCAGAGATTTCATGAAGGTGGCACCTGGGTAAAAATCTGAAAGAGGTTAAGGCAATGAGGCACGAGGATATCCAGGATCTATGTGTTCTAGGCAGAAGAAAGAGCCAGTGCAAAGACCCTGAGTCAGGAGCAAGCCTGATGTGTTGGAAGAACAGCAAGAGACTAAGTGGCTGGAGCAGAGGCAAAGAAGGAGAGAACATTTAGAGATGAAGTCAGAGAAAAAAGATAACTTCAAGAGTCACATGAAGTAAACAGACTGGTTCTGTAATCAAGCTCTCCTAATAGCAAATCCATTTCTATTTATATGTTTTTTCCTAATAAAACTCAAAGAGTAAATATGAATACTTACTCTGTCATATTTAGCAACAATTTCAGCTCGCTCCTGGGCAAGTTTGAGGGCTACATCCTGGTCTGAATCTGTGGAGAGATCAAATTTAGATGAACTGTCACTTAAAGAATCATAAGTTATTTCATTTTTAAACTAAGACAAAACAGATCCAAATAAAATAAAACACATACTACCAAAAATGACAAACCAGCAAAAATCAAATAAACTTAAAAGGATGAGTTAAGTATTTGTACAACCTTGAAATATCAACATACATTATCACTTCAATATTATATATAATATTCAAAAGAAAGTAACTTCGTTAACATGGCATTAACTTGGGGAATATGATAAATTTTATCACTCAGAAATCAATTTGGATCTAATTTCAGAGAAATAAGTATTAGAGGAGAAACTGAAACTAAAAGCTCTAAGTTTTCAATGAAATACGTTTGGGTAGACGATAAGAAGAACACTCAAGAAGGCTTTTAAAAATTAAGGGAATTTATCCACCAAACAAAAAAGCGTTCTTACATGACAAAAATAATCATTTCTTCATTTAGCCTCTCAGGCCCCCTTTGTCAATAGCCTCAAATAATTTCCAGTTTTTCTCTCCTACCTATCCCATGCCTTTCTTTCTTTATTACCACCATATATCTTCCAAAAACACAAATATGACAACAAAAGTAGAGCTCATAACATAAAACAGTATATGATTACATATCCCAAGTACCATAAAAAAAAAAAACAACAATAGACTATATAAATGGCACCTCTGATCAAGAAAAAGGACAAGCATTCCACTGGAAGACTGGGTCAAGGTCAAGAGCAAGAAATTCACAAGAGTAACAAGAGCAGGGACAACTGTGTTTGTATTCTTACTAAGTGTCTGGCAGAGAGTAAGATACTGCCAGGCAGCAGATACTATTCAAAAGAGCACTTTACAACAACAGTCTAAGATAGGTATTATATTAAGTCTATTGCACAAATGAAAAAAAATGAGGTATAGAGATTTCTTTTAAAGATTTTATTTATTTATTTTTAGAGAGGGAAGGGAGGGAGAAAGAGAGAGAGAGAAACATCAATGTGTGGTGGCTGGGGGCCGTGGCCCGCAACCCAGGCATGTGCCCTGACTGGGAATCAAACCTGCGATGCTTTGGTTCACAGCCCGTGCTCAATCCACTGAGCTATGCCAGCCAGGTCAAGGTATAGAGATTTGAACTAACTTATCTTAGGTCTCAATGCTAGTCAACAGCAAAGCCAGCATTCAAATCCAGTCAGTCTTGACTCCATATAAGCATTACTTTATAAAAGTGATTACTAAAGACACAAAAAAAGGACTTCCAGTTAAAGATGGCAGATGGAACAGATGTACACATTCCTCCTAAAACCACACTAAAATGACAAGAGAGGGATTCTTTAAAACCCCTCCCTCAAAGGCTCAGCGAATAGTAATTCCTGAGAGAAGGGTGAGGTTAAAAAGAGTTGAAGGGATGTGCAGGTGTGTAGCAGAGATTGGGTGCACAGAAGAAAAACCAAATCCATAGCAGGAAACCAATAGATGATGCCTAAAGCTACAGAACCAGGAAGTGGCAATATAGGGGCATTACCTCACACTACACGGAAGTAAACAGAAAATGAATCAGCCCTAAGGGAGATGGCAGTATGGAGGGAGGAATATGGAAGTCAGCTAGTTTTCAAAGTAAGTCTTACAGACTGCTGAATCTTCAAACCAAGTATAGCTCTGATAAAAATAAAATCTAAATTTAAAAGCCAAGACGTGAGGGGGAAAATCAAAGTCATTAAAAGCTAAAGATACACAAGTTTTAAAATATCCTTTTGCACCTATCTCAGACTAACCAAAAAATGCAATGGTATTAACTCAATGCTGACAACAATGTGCAAATCTGCAGTACCTTACATTTACAGTAGAATTATAAATGCATAAATCTTTCTGGAAAGCAATTTGATAATATGTATCAATAATCTTAAAAAGAGGCATATCCTTTACCTAACAATTCCACTGGTAGAGTTTTATGCCAATGAGATTATCAAATAAGCACAAGATTGTTTTTAATAGTAAAAATAGGAAAATGGGGATCTATAAATTTTTTATGTTTATTTAGTAAAAAATGTTTATGCCACTGCTTTTCTCAGTTAGACTATAAAGTGTTTCAATATGCTGTCCTTTGGGACATAGGTGGATATATAATAGAATGGTTCAATAAAATAACAAAAATACAGACTAGTTCAGATTTTCAGTGAACTAACGCAATCAGAAGTCTGGGATGATCAACTCAATTATATACATGATTCATTATCCCATTTTAGATTTATGAACCTTTGTCAGTTCCTTTTTCCTTCTTCTATTGACCAGCTTTAAAACATTACATTCACATTTTTACAGAAGGGAAGGGAAAGCAAACCAGCAGAAGTTAAACAAGGAAACCTGACTACTTACTGAGTTTCATTTCCATTTCAGAACAGCTAAGCATGAATTGCTGCAGTGATTAGGCCAATTAAATGGATGAGCATTTTCTATGAATGTATATTATACCAACAAGTCCTTTATTCCTGCTACTGGTTGTAGGAGTTGCAACTGTATTTCCAACTTAACAACTAAAAGTTTAAAAGAAAAAAGGCAAAAACTGGAAACTGTATGGAGTTGGGAAGTGAGGCAAAGTTTCCCAAGAAAACATCATTGTGACAAACTGGAAATGTAATGCTTTACACAAATCATCTCCAGCCTAGAGATTTCCAGAAAAGAAAACCCAACTATATAACAGAAGCTGTACTGGAACTGGATGAAACTGTATCCTAATTTTATGGGAGAAAGATGATATATTTTTATATGATTAGAATAGCTGACTTGACTCTAAATCAAACAAATGTCTATATCTTCAAATTTCTTTAGAAATTCCTTATCTTAGTATTTTTGTATAGGGAGAAAATTTTATAAATGTATTCTAAAAAGAGGGCTAGACCACCAACTTACACCATAAACAAAAATAAACTCAAGATAGAGAAAATACTTAAATATAAGTCATGACACCATAAAAGTCCTAGAGGAGAACATAGGCAGAAAAATTTCAGATATCCCATGCAGCAATATTTTCACCGATACATCCCCTAGAGCAAGGGATATAAAGGAAATAATACACAAATGAGACTACATCAAGTTAAAAAGCTTTTGTACAGCTACAGAAAACATCAACAAAATGAAAAGGGCACCAACCGTATGGGAAAATGTATCTGCCAATGATACTTCAGCCAAGGGTTTGATTTCCAAAATATATAAAGAACTCACATGACTTCACACCAGAAAGACAAACAACCCAATTAAAAAATGGGCAAAGAACCTGAACAGACACTTCTCCAAGAAGGACAGACAGAGGGCCCAGAGAGATATGAAAAGATGCTCAGCATCACTAGCCATAAGAGAGATGCAAATTAAAACCACAATGAGATACCACTTCACACTGGTCAGAATGGCCATCATAAACAAATCAACAACCAGTAAGTGCTGGTAAGACTGAGGAGAAAAGGGAACCCTAGTACACTGTTGGTGGGAATGCAGACTGGTGCAGCCTCTGTAGAAAACAGTATGGAATTTCCTCAAAAAACTAAAAATAGAACTGCCTTTTGACCTGGCAATTCCACTGCTAAGATTATACCTAAGAATCCTGAAATGGCAAGTCAAAAGAACCTATGCACCCCAATATTCATAGCAGCATTATTTACAATAGCCAAGTGCTGGAAACAGCCTAAGTGCCCATCAGTAACTGAGTGAATAAAACTAATTTTATAAAATACAGCCAACAAGAAGCATACAACCTGCTTCTTTAAAGCGACTAAATGGAAATACCAATCTTTTCAACACTGAGTTTAGAGACATTACTTAATATTCTGCATTGTGAAACAATCATCTTTAGAATAAGAAGTAGTATTCTTAAACAGAACTTGCTATCGTTAAATTATGTTTCATACTGTCTGCTCTATAGTTGAGTTTATTAAGAATTACACTCAACATTGTTCATGTGTCCTCTATACACGTGCCTTGAAAAAAAAATTGTTCAGGGTGATAGGTATATTTATTTTCTTGACATTTTTAATATTGATGGTGGTGTCACGGGCATATACATATCTCAGAATTTATCAAATTATACACTTAAACATGTGCATTTTATTGGATATCAATAATACCTCAATAAAGCTGTTAAAAATAAAAGAGGAAGAAAAGAATTATACTCAACACCAAATCATTATTATATGAAATAATAAAGGGATTTATTTAAGAAAAAGAAGATCAAATCTATGAACAATAAAATGGGAATAAACATATATCTGTCAACAACTAAATCTAAAAAACAAAAAAAGCAAACAAACAAAAAAAACAGAGACAGAATCATGGATACTGGGAGCATTTTAATGGTTGTCAGATGGGAGCAGGGTTTGGGGGCATGGGCAAAAAGGTGAGGGGATTAAGAAATACAAACAGGTAGTTAGTTACAGAATAGCCATGGGGATATAAAGCACAGTATAGGAAATGGAGTAGCCAAGGAACTTATGCACGTGACCCATGGATGTGAACAATGGTGGGGGGATTGCCTGAGGGAGTGGAGCTTATGGGGTGGGGAGGGGAAAGGGAGAAAAATTGGTACAACTGTAACAGCACAATCAATAAAATATAAATTAAAAAAAATTTAAAAAATAATTACTCTCAAGTACTCCCTTTGGTTTCATTCTAATTGTTTATTTAGAAATTCCATTGCAAAAACAAAGAGTCTGCCCTAAAACACTGACCACAGGGATATCAGCAGCTGTCTCATGTCTGTGTGCAAGCGTGCACGAAGTTCCAGGCACCTACTAAACAATGACAGCTGTGTTACTCGGTACTTACATCACACGCCATTATCAAATTTAAAAAACCTATTACATTATTCAAGCCAAATTAAATCAAATTATTTTTTACTTTATATCTACCACAATAAGGCATCAAAGTTTAAGAGGTGAATTTTAAAAAGCAAGAATAAGAAGATATTTGGATTAAATAATACTCAATAATATAAGAAAACATCTCTGGGCCCAA